GTCTCCAGACAGGATTACTGATTCTGCTTTTCCCACCTTTTGCTTTCTTCTTGAGTGAATGCCTTTGGTTTTCTACGGGATGGGGGCGGGAGCGGAGGTCACGGTGACACTGAGCCTGTCTTCGCGGGCTTGAGGACGCGCTGGCGATCCTCCGCGGAGTTGCTGGGGGGCGTTTCCTAACTGGAAGGGGAGGGGGCTGCTGAAAGACAACGTTTCTCACCATGTAGAGCTTAACTGGAAACTGGCTTCACCCAGTTTTTTTGTTCAGTCCAAACCTCGCGCAGCCATTTCTTTGCGCGATCTCAGCGGACACAGTGCGGGACGTCTCCCTTTATTTCTGGGGCTACAGAGGGCCAAGACGCGGCAGAGCTCCCGTAAAGGGCCTTCAGCTTTCAGGAGCGCTGTGTTCTAGACTTGGCAGCCGCTGGGCTGGAAAAGAACCGCAGAAGGACCAAGGTTTGACGGGATCAAGCAGTCGGCGGGAAGCTTGGGAGTGTGCGGAGGGTGTGCTTGGGCAGAGTGCGCCGAAGGGCAGGCTCCTAGTGTGCCAGCCTCGCGGACCAAATCCGGGGCCAAGTGAGCAGGGGCAAATCGGCTCCTGGGACCCCAGCTCCGCTCGATCCATTTGCATCTGAAAGAGGCCTTTTTAGTGGGATTGAATCAGAGAGATACTACTGTGGCAGAGCCAGTCTGCTGTGCCAACCTTGTGGCCGGGGTAGGTTTGCACCTAGAGATTCTCTACGTTCCCAGGCTAGAGAGTACCCCTTGCTGCTTCACCTCACCCCAGTCTTCTTCACCTCGTGCCTTGCCGAGCATCCAGGACTGGGTGGCCTGGTGCTGAGTGCCAGGTTCCCAGCTCCAGGACAAAGCTGCTTTCCCCACTCCTCCCCCACCCTCACCCTAGGGTGTTCACGACTGAGCCAAAGCCCTGCTTCGGAGCCACACCTTTCAGTCCATAGGGGATGCTCAATTCTTTAATAGGGTCTGATGGAATGGTGACTTCTGCCCTTTTAAGGGGTCTTGGCCTCCAAAACTCAACTCAAAAGAAAAATTCAGTCACCTTCTATCAAGAGATGCAGGTTTGCTGGGTTTGCACCTTCCTGAATCCTAAAGTCTCTAGTTATTCATTCCCTTTACTCCCTTTCTCCTTCTCTTTGGGGAGATTGATTGGGTTGGAGCCCAAGAACAAAGTGTCCACGCTCACTGTCTCTTCATCTCAGGACCTGAACTCCTCCATTCCAGCTCCTCTATCCCACTGGAATAGTCATCCACCTTTCTGTTAACAGTAGCCAAATAGGTGGAACAGAAAGGAGTGAAATGCCTGTGTCCAAGAATGGGGGAGGGCTGCACCTTGCCAGGGTTCTGCCCATTGCTCCTAACAGTTTTGAGTTCAGAGAGGAGCCTGCAGTTCTTATTTCTGGTGGGAGGAGGGAGAACCCTGTGCACCTGACCCAGTGAGAGGCAGCAGCTCAGCCCCAGGAACTGAACAAGCCAAGAGGGAGCTCTCCAGCTTTTATGGAGCTCTGATGGGCTTTTCTGCGGCAAGCAGGAACCTGGTCTATCCTCCTGAGAGGGGAGAGAAGGTCGAGGCACAAAGCTGTTCTCCTTACAGTGCTTACAATCCTTTGAGATGATGGGACGCTTTTAGGTAATCTCCCAGGGCTCCAAAAGATTAGAACTCCTCAGGTCACACACCCAATTCTCGTAGCAACCCCCAGCCCCACCTTCTCCTCTGTAAGGAACCGTGTGAGAATCAGGGTTGGACAGATGGGAGGTTGTTTCTGTAGAAATAACAGGGACCTCCAAACTCCAGCAGCCCCCAGCCAGCTCTAACTTTCTATAAACTTCCTGTCTTGCCTGAGAAGGAAGAATCCTTGCAGTTTACTTCTTTACAGGAGGTAGCAAATCTTAGTTTATGGAGGAACTTATAATCTGAATTTTATAAGAAAAGGGACAAAGCCAACATCCAAGCAAAAGCCCTGCTCTGTTAGTTAGGTGACTAACTAACAAGTGGGTTTGGAACAGATGAAGAATGAAAGACCGGGATAGCGGGATGGCTGATGGAAATTCGGTACTTGGCTTCCCTGGTGACTTCACAAAGTTTTGGCTTTTTTTTTCCTGGCATTTTTTGTTAAACTTTCTCTTCATTCATTCTCCATTAATTCTTTTCATTAACGTTATCTCTTGCAAGAAAGAAGTGGTGTGCTTGTGTTCACTATTGCCTTTTCTGGGCAGAACCAAAATCCCACAAGAACCAAACCCAATTCCAAACAGTTTAGCCGAGAAAGCAGATGAGACTGGCCCCTAGATTGAGGGTCCTTGTTTACTTTTTTCCTTGGAGCTGCACGGGCTAACTGAGTGATGTTCTTCTGGAGACCCCAGCCATTTCTTCTCTTTCTCCTCAGGGTGGAGTGGGTTTAGCCACGGGTTGGTGTGAAGGCAATCTGCCCCTTTGTGAGAGGACCTGTTGTCTCTGAAAGTGCTGCTGCTCCCACCCCCTCCTAGGGGCGCTTTGGTTGTGCACGTGGGTCTGAAAAGCTCATTGATTTCCATCCAAAGGGGCTAATTACATTACTTACAGTAAATAGCAGCCCTGCTGTCCGGTAGGGCTGCCAAAGTGAGGGGGAGGTCTCCAGCTTAGTTCAGTTGATTGGCTTCATTTTTGTGTGAAATTGTGTTTTATGAGCTGTATTCTGGCACCCAGAGGATCATAACAGCGTCCAATCTGCAAATAACATTATTTTTGACCCTGAGAAAAAGCAAAGGGAAGCAGTGGAATTTGGGGTTTGGTGGAAAAGGTGACTCCAGCAGCTTCAGAGGATGATGCTGGGTGTAGGAAGTGGGGCGGCTCCATTGGGGTCCTCTCTCTCCCTCACTCCTTCTCTGCTCTTCGTCCTTTCCTCCTCCCTACCATCCCTCTGTCCCTTCATTCCTCCATCCCTTCCTCCAGTCCTTCCCTCTCTTCAGCCTTCCTTTTCTCCTTCCCTCTCATCTTCCTCCTGCCCCATCATCCCTATTCTATCTCTCCCTTCTCTTCCCTCTTCCTTCTTTCCTTTCTCCTTCTCTTTTTCTTCCTTCATCATTGCAGATTTGGCCACAGTTCCACATCATTTCCCCCTCACTGAGGGAAGTAAGTCTGGACCCAGGGATGCCAGTGAAGGATTCTGGCTGTATCAGGACATAAGCCCGCTGTGCTGGTAAAACCCATGGAGAGTGACAGGAAACAGAGGCAGGCCAGAGGGAGGAAAGAAGAAGAGAGCTACCTCCTCTCTCTGGTTCAAGCCGGATTGGTTCCCACCACTGTGCCATGCTTTGGGTCCCTGCAGGGCTTCTGATGATTTGAATGAATTGACAATATTAGGGTATTGAGGGTGCCTTTTAATAGGGCCAAGGAGGGGCTGCCACTAACAGGAACAGAGGCAGAGAACAATCCCACCTCTTGTGAGGTGCTGGACTGCCATTCTGCTTGTCAGCTCTCACCTTCCCCCTCCTCCATTGCATGGAGTCCCTTTCACATCCTCTGAAATGTGTGGTGTATCCTGTTTTACAGTCCTGCAAGGGCAGTATGAGGAGCACACGTACAGAGGGCAAGTGCCTATCTCTCCTTAGGGAGAGGGGTTTCCAAGCGCAACAGGAATCTCTGAGTTGCTGATCACATTGTCAAGTGTCAGCCCACAGGGCCAGAATCACCAGTTTTCCTGCCTCTCTGCACTGGGTAGAGAACACTTAACCCTAGCTCATGGTCCACTCTCATGCCTGAGCTTTCCGGTCCTTGCCCTGTTCCTTACACTAATTTTTTAAAGAAAATCTTTTAACAAAAAAGGAAACTCTAGAAACCTAGGCTCTGTGAGCCCACTTTCACTTTAGGGGATGCTGTAGCTCCCTGGTACATCATCAGGGAGGTAAGGGGACCCACTATTAATCAGTGAGTTGGGGAAGGAAGGATTGCAGAGAGTTGCTTTAAAAAGTGAGCTGAAGAGATGGCAGGGAGAAGAGGGGCAATTATCTACACTTCAGTGAAGTGCACATATTTTTTTGTCCGATATTGACGTATTTGTGGTGCTATTCTCACAGGGTGGGGATCAGAAATTCCACAAGGAGGAAACCCAAGTTGGAGCTGACATTTTGTATGTCATTAGTTGGGGTCTGGTCTTGAACTCAGACCAAATAGTTGAGCTCTCTGCCTCCTGTTCCAGGGCAAGTGGACAATAAGGGTTCCTTTCCCCCTTTAAAACACGACTGGGAACTCTTGAGAGAGAGAGAGAGAGAGAGAGAGAGAGAGAGAGAGAGAGAGAGAGAGAGAGAGAGAGAGAGAGTGTTTTTGGGGGGAAGTTAATGCCTCCTCTTGTCTCACTCCTTCTTCTCCTCTCACTCCTTCTTCTCCCCCCCTTTTGTAATGTTTGTCCCCGCTTGCCCATCACCAGGGGGCTGAGAGGAGTATGACAGGTCTTTGTTGTCTGAATAAAAATCCGTGGCTGCTCCGGGGAGAGAACTCCTCCTACTAAATTATCAAAAATGGGCTGGCTTTAGTCTCTTAACAAATTGGACCCAGCTCCGGCAGGAGCAGTCCCCAACCCAACCTACAGGCACTGGGAACTTGCAAGCAGCCAGGGACCTCTGAAAATACCACTTCTTTTTCTTTCTTTGTGTTCAAAACTATTTTCTTTCTTCACCAGATTTTGTTTTTCTCCCCCCACCCCCGCAGTTGTTTCCCATTAGTAACTTGATCTCTCAGAGCAGTACGATTCGCCTTCTTCCTCTCCTTTCCCCTTCACCCGTGTTTGTTTTCTGCACATCTCCTTCACGGAGCCACTGGGGCTCCCCCCCCTTCTTTTTTCTTTTCCAAGTAGACCAAATTTCCAATCTGTCTGCTTCTTTCTTCTTCCCTCTCTCCCTCTTGCTTTCTGTCCGCGGCGTGTCGGCTCTGCCCCACCGCCTCGCCCTCTGCGGTCCCTTCTACTCCTTCATTCGGATGAGCTGAAAACCCCGGGCGTGTGTATATGGAAATAGTGGGGTGCCGAGCAGAAGACAACTCGTGTCCTTTCCGCCCCCCAGCCATGCTCTTCCACGGGATCTCCGGAGGCCACATTCAAGGCATCATGGAGGAGATGGAGCGCAGATCCAAGACCGAGGCCCGCTTGGCCAAAGGCGCCCAGCTCAACGGCCGCGACGCGGTAAGGAGGGCCTGCGGCGGCGGCGGTCCCCGCGCCCGCGCGCGCTCTGCGCTGCGAGCCTCTTCCCGGGCCGGCCGAGCGCACCACGGCGGCTCGTGAGCGCGTCTTCTCTTCACCCGCGGGTGGTTTTCTCCTGTCTGCTTGCTTGGGGGACTAAAAAAAGGCCTCCCTTCAGATTTGAAACGTCTACGCAGTAGAGACCCGGAGCTCGCTCCCCGTCGGAGAGCTGGGCGTGCCGTGCCTTGAGTGAGAGGATGAGGATGCCTTCGTCTGCAGACCTCAGACCCGCGCTCCTGTCCCCCTCGAGTCCCCGGCGCCTCCCGGGTGGGGAGCAGCGGCCAGAGGGCGAGCTGGACGCGGGCCTTGGTCGGACGGAGCTGCCCAGGAGCCCCAGACACGCAGGAGCTCTGGGGGCACTGCTCTGGGGTGCATGATGGCACCTTTGCCGTGGGCTGGAACGCGACCGGGCCACTTGCGAGGTTCCAGACGCTCGGATCTAGGGACCCCCAAACCGAGCGTTTTTCGTAGTCTCTGGTAGTCGGGTTGGACTTCTCTAGTGAGACAGGACTGCATTCAGCTCCCTGAGAGGGCGCATGCAACGTGTTGTGGGAAATAGAATTAAAAAAGAATCCAAAGGAGCGGGGACTAGTCCAAGAGCGAGGCAATTCTAACCTTTAACCGATATAAGCAACTACCACTGTCACTACTATTCATAATACAAGTCACTTCTGCTTAATAAAGAAAACCAATTAAGACTCCAGTGCTTCCCTTTCCACTTATCAGCTGAAGAGGGGACACTACAAAAGTCTCGGGAAATGATTTCAGCCAAACAGAACTGTGCATCCACTCTGTAGATTGCTCTGGGCTGGTCAGCGGTGTTTTGGGTTCCGCCACGTAGTTGAGCGGGTGGGAGCTTCTACATTTGCAATGTGATTTCAGTTTACGTGTGAGGGGACTAGTCAGAGTAAAAGGCGAAACTTTCCCTTTCCAGGCCCGCTAAAGTTTCGTGGAAGTACTGCAAGCATTTTTGCTAGTCTTGAGGGAAAAGTCCAGAGATTAATTCCCCCCCCCCACTCCCCTTTGTGGCTATCCTGTGTAAAAACAACAACAATAGCAACCCAAACCTGAGTTTCGCTAGGGGACTGAGTTCTCTAAGAGGAGGTTTTTCCACGCTTGGCCACATCAGTAGGACTCAGGCGGGAACTTAGGCACTAAGATTCTCAGGACAAAGATCTCCTGGGATATTGATGCCTGCGTAGGAAAGAGGGACCGTGCAGAAGAGACCGGACAGCGGACCCTCCCGGGGAACAAGCACTTTACATCCTTTCTAGGAAAGGACCCATAACCCTGAAAATTAGAGGAAAACAATATCCACCCCATACATCACGATCAAAACAATGTCAGACAAACTATGAGCACACATATCATCTCTCCCTTTTAATTACCACGCTACCGTAAGATTTTAGTGAAACAGAAATGTAACATTGTTTAAGAAAACAATCGGGGTTCCTTCAAGTCTCCTTCACAGTCCCTAGTACCAGTTTCCGTTGTCTTATTTTGTGCGCATTGAAACCCACCCTTTTTAGCTGGTAATTATTCGAGTTCAGGAACATACAAACTATAGTCAACGCGGACCCCTTAAAAAGAGGCTAGAGATAACTGGCCTTCGAGTAAATAGTCCGGGAGGACTCGAACGCTGGACTCAGGCAGACGCCACAGAAAGGCAGTAAGCAGCAAAGGAGGCAATTGCAGAGGTTCCCCGACGTTTGCCTTTGCACGTGGTCCAGGCCCTAGGTGTGCTCGGGAACCGCTTGGGCTCGCGCAGCGCGGGGGAGCTTGGCTTTGTGCTGTCCTATCCGGCACCTTCCTCAGCCGCGCGGTGTGTTTGCCTTGCAGGGCATGCCCCCTCTGAGCCCCGAGAAGCCCGCTCTGTGCGCAGGCTGTGGGGGCAAGATCTCGGACAGGTACTACCTGCTGGCCGTGGACAAACAGTGGCACCTGAGGTGCTTGAAGTGCTGTGAATGTAAGCTGGCCCTCGAGTCCGAGCTCACCTGCTTCGCCAAGGACGGTAGCATTTACTGCAAGGAGGATTATTACAGGTAGTGCACCTCTATCCCTTACGCACCAGTTACAACTGGAGGGCCAACCAGCCCGACGTTTTGCCCAGAGCCCAAGCGTCCGCTCTTTGTCCCGCTACCTTTTGCCCATTGGGGATTCAGTTATCAGTCTCCAGACCAAGGAAGGTTCCAGTGCCCCCAGATTGGCAATGAGGAAGGGTGGGAGGGACACCCTTGGTCTAGAGATTTATCAATGCAGATCACACATTGGTGGGGTTGGGGGACAGTTCTCTGTTAGTTTTAGGGAACTGGGGGATCCTCGAAAGATTGAAACAAACGCGTCTTCGTTCACCAAAAGTAGAGCTTTATTATTATTATTATTTTCCGTTTACTGCGAATTGAGCAAGGTCCACGCCTTGCATCTGAACTGGCGGCCCGGGAGGCAAGGTGTTGGGTTTTTCTCGAGCGTGGCGGGGAAACCATGTAAATGACCAGGGAAAGGTCAATTACAAACCCAAGCCACTCAATTCCGAGTTCCCTTTTCCGCCCCTTAGATCCGTGCCCGCCAGACTGGTGAGTAAACTCAGCGGCAGGCGTGTTTATTGACTCTGCCTGGCTATGTTTCTGGACTGGGAAACACACAACTTTGTGCAGATGCTTTAGCTCCCCTCTCAGCCCAGGACAGAGGTGGCTAAAAAAAGAATAAGTTTTTCGCTGCAAAACTGTCATTTCTCCGAGATTCTGTTTTAACGCTTGCACGCATACTCACACATCTAGAAATAACAATACCTCCCACACCCAGTTCTTAGACCACACCCAGTTCTTAGACCTTTTTGTAATCGACGAAATGTTTTCCCCTGACATCGCAATTTAATATTCGTTCGATAGCACTGTGAACTAGCGCGGGCTTCTTTTTAATCTCCACTTTACAGAGAAGGAAAGTGAGGCTCAGTTACCGATCCCTCTGTTTTTAATGTAGGGATTCTTTGTCCTGGTTCAACAGAACAATTCAATAAACAAATACAATAAATGTCTGAATGGGGCCGTGTCCTCTCCTCCTGGAGCTCCCCACCCCAAGTTCTCTGTCTTGCGGCACTGCTAACCAAGCTCCAGGAGTGGTAAATGCCTTTGCCTCAAACAGAGATCTGACTAATCTGTTTCCTTCTAGAAGGTTCTCTGTGCAGAGATGTGCCCGCTGCCACCTTGGCATCTCCGCCTCCGAGATGGTCATGCGCGCCCGAGACTCTGTCTACCACCTGAGTTGCTTCACCTGCTCCACCTGCAACAAGACCCTGACCACGGGCGACCATTTTGGCATGAAGGACAGCCTGGTGTACTGCCGCGCGCACTTCGAGACCCTCTTGCAAGGGGAGTATCCACCGCAGCTGAGTTACACCGAGCTGGCGGCCAAGAGTGGCGGCTTGGCCCTGCCTTACTTCAATGGTACCGGCACGGTCCAGAAGGGGCGGCCCCGGAAGCGGAAGAGCCCAGCGCTAGGAGTGGACATCGTCAATTACAACTCAGGTGGGCCCCTGTCATCAATCCCCTCTCCATCAGCCCCAGCTTCCCGCAGCTGGAGGGATTCCACAAAACGCAACCCAACCCCAACCCCACCCAAGACTCGGTTGCGAGTGGATGCTTTACTCTAACCAGCCTCTTTTCTCACTACAACTCCCTTTCACTCAGAAAGAAGAGAAAGAGACATAGGCAGAGACAGAGAGACAGAGAGGAGCTAGCCAGAGGGGGAGGGAGAAGGGCCTTTATTTAGGTTATAGCAAAAAGCACATTCATAAGCAGGGGACTGCGATGACTCCTCCAACAGGCAGAGCCAAATCCTTGTTGCCCATTAGTTAATGAGCCCATTAGTTTCTGGCTCCCAATTGGAGCAAAACAGCCCCAGGGCAATTCCTGTGTGGAAGCCAAATTATAGATACTGGAGGAGGTTTTCCTAAATACTGAATTTTTTTTTTCAGAGCCCAATTTCAGTCTGTTTAGAGGGGGCAGAGGCTGTGGTCACCAGCACAGAGTTAATCAGGAACACAGTTGGCAAGAATGTTGAAACAACCAAAAAAATCCCTGATCTTGGTAAAAAGCACAGCTGAGCTGGCCTGCCCTTCCACTGGTCAGGGTACTCATGCAGCCAGCTCCATCTCTGGGACATTCAGCACCACCCCCCTCTACCCCCAAAGAACATGGAGGGCATGTCCTTAGGTCACATCCAGAGAGCCATCCTGTTACCACTGGACCGGATAGCAGCTCTTTCTATGATTTCCAGTCCCTAAGAAAAAGAGTTCCAGAAAGTCCTAGGCTAATATTTTGGGGAGCCCGATGATTGATTTAGCTGCTCTGACTTCCCTGTCCTGGCCTGGCTGGGCATCTCAGCAGGTAGGAGATTCAGGTCAGGGGAGTCATTCTGTTGGAAGGGGCTGCATTGTCCAATATGA